TGCTGCTGAAAGCAGGTTTCTGGCCTTTCTTTACCTTCTGTATTTGAAACAGTGTTGCGATCCTGCTGGCTGAAGCCCGACGGACTAAAGCAGGTTTCTGGGGTTTTGTTTAGCTTCTATATTTGTAACATAGTTACTTAGAGTTGCAGCTCAGAGGCCTGCAGCAGCAGGCGGGGAACGCTGTAGTCCTCCATCACTGAAGCAAGCAAGCCTCATGTTTGCTTCCAGCTGCCTGGCTGCTGGCTGCCATCTTGGCTGGCAGTTAATTTGCTTATCGCCCTGATTAGCCAATGGGAAGGGTAGCGGTCGTACGCTAATTACCATGTTTCTCTTTTATTAGATAGGATGGTAGGATAAGGAATAACACATGAAACGATTAACCTCCTCAATTTGCAGATAACAAGGACTCAACATTTGATTGGAAGGTTCAAACCCTAGACAAATCACTGCCCTTAATCCACCACAAATGTCCTTGTAAAAACTGCCTCCTAAAACAGCCCCAGGGACTGGAGTCCTGCCTGCTCCACACCAAAAAAGAACACACACACACAGCAACAACCAAAACCTCAGTGTTTGACCCAGGATAAGAAAAACTCTGAAAAGTTGAAAAATCTCTTCAATAAATGTATTACCTAAATTTTTAAGAAAATGATTACATTGTGAGTACTCCGGAGCCGCCATCCAGGCCGAGCATAAAGACTTACTTGTTTCTCTCACAGAATAGCTAGTCTCCAGGAAAGCCAGGCCACAGGCAAGGTGCCCCCTCCCCGCCCAGGACCCAGGAGCCTATAGGCGAGGTCTGCAGGCGAAGCAGAAGCAGTGATCTAGCTATGAGGGGGAGGGTGGGGGGCGGAAGGAGCTACAGGAGCAGCTCTGGCTGGAGACTGAAGCCTCCCGCCAGAGCGAGGAGCACAGACACTGCAGGCAGGGCAGACCGGGAGCTGCCATCCAGGCCGAGCATAAAGACTAACTTGTTTCTCTCACAGAGTAGCTAGTCTCCAGGAAAGCCAGGCCACAGGCAAGGTGCCCCGCCCCCAGGACCCAGGAGCCTATAGGTCTGCAGGCGAAGCAGTGATCTAGCTATGAGGGGGAGGGTGGGGTCGGAAGGAGCTACAGGAGCAGCTCTGGCCAGAGCCTGAAGACTCCCGCCAGAGCGAGGAGCAAAGACTGAAGGCTCCAGCCACAGCAAAGACTGTGTCCAGAGTGAAGATGGAAGGCGGTGGCCAGAGTGAAGGTCTGCGTCCCGGGTGCCAGAGGAAAACTGGTGCTGGCAGCCGGGGGAAAGAAGGCCTATTGCACGAATGTTTGTGTAACGGGCCTCTAGTAAAATATAAAATAATTTAGTAATAGGGCTCCTAGTTAAAAATGTATTTACACATTAACTTATATGAGAATGAAAACACCCCAGAAATGATGGCTGCAGTATTTTAAAGGTGAAGAAGTTGAGATTCCAAATCTCAAATCTCACTGAAAATAATGGATTTGCCCCCAACCACACAGCTGGCGAGAGATTGGCGCTGACTCACATTTGTGGGCTGTGTGTTATTCAGTACACGGAATTGTCCCTGTAACAGCCACGTGTGCAAACCTCCAGGATGGGCTTCTCCAAACACTGCAACTGAAACCCGCCCTCCTCCAGGGGCCTCCACCTGGGTAGCGGGTCTCCCAAAGCAAGCAAGTTAGCATCCAGTTGGCATTCCCTGGTTCCTCTTTTGCGCTCTTTTGTAGAGGACTTCAGAGTGATTGGTCCTGCTCCTTGCATCCTGGCCAGGGTCGGGGAAGATGCCCTCCTCACTTGTCAGCTCTTCCCCAAGAGGAGCGCGGAGCACATGGAGGTGAGGTGGTACCGCTCAGAGCCCAGCACGCATGTGCTGTTTGCACACCGGGACGGAGCTGAGGCGAGCGAGGTGCAGGCGGAGGAGTACCGGGGCCGAGTGGAGTGGGTAGAGCACGACCTGGCCGAGGGGAGTGTGGCTCTGAAGATGCACAACATCCGGCCATCCGACGACGGGCAATACTGGTGCCGTTTCCAAGAGGGGGACTACCATAGAGAGACCAGCCTGCTGCTCCAAGTGGCAGGTGAATATCTGGGGAAAGACACCAGATCTCGGATCTCAGAGGGAGAAGTCTATTGATTTATGGGAAGTTCATGGCCAGTTAAAAAGCTCCCTTTAATCTTTGAGGCACTTCCCAACGCCCAGTCCTCCACCCTGATCCAGCTGAGGGCAAGTGGTCCCGAGGTCTCCAGAGCAGGCCCACATGTGCGATATCCCCAAACTGAACTGGTCTGGTTTTGACTATTCTTGACAGTTATTTTAAATCCCTGGCATGTGGTCATTCGCAGTTTTGCTGAGGATGATTTGTGCCACACAGGCTGATGTGCAAGGGCAAGTTCATCTCTGAGTGAGTAGCTGACTGCTTAGCATCCATGTCTCAGTGGAACTGGTTGGTCTCTTCCCACAACCAATATGCAGGAACTGAGATGTGAACACGTCTTTCTTTGTGTAATGCCTCCAATCAGAAGGCCAGTGATGGGGCCACAGCGGTTAGGAACTTGGTGCCTTTATGGAGATTTCATATACTGTGTGCCATGAGTCTGGGACTCACTGTGAACGGCAGGTTCTGTCTTCACGACGCTTCTGTAAAGCAAAGCATGAAGGAGTCCAGAAGAAGGGAATCGCGAAGAAAGGATCTGTCTTTAGGGAGAACAGATAACTGAACATTAAACTGTCAGATGGTTTGCTGGCAGGAATAACTCCTCCACATGCTGAGGAGAAAACCAGGCAAATCCATTTACCTTATCGGCAAAATAGTTCTTTAGACGAAACAGTATCTGGCTGTTTCCTAACACACCCACCCACTTTTTCTCTTAAACACTCATAATGTTCGAGGTGGTTCAAGATGGATGCAAGAACTGCGTGTTTCTGAGGTGTGGAGGGTGCACATTACTAAGGGATTTCACAGTCATGGACACTTGAAAATAAGCCACGTACTTTCCTAGGCTCTCACTGAAGGAGTGGGTCTCCGTCACCCAGCGAGTGACA